AGGAAGAGGAAGAAGAGGAGGGGAAGGACGGAAGTGGTGGTTGAGAAGAATTGTCAGAGTTAGCTGGCGGCAGAGAGGACGAGGCAGAGGCGGGCGGAGGGGCGGCGAGTGGTGCGGTATGGGAGGTGCAGGTGGTCCGAAGGTGTCCAATGAGTCCAATTCGTGCCCGGAATGTCCGTTGTCACGGAGGACACGTTTGAAGCGGTTGTGCGTCGGCCTTGCGGACGGGGCGTAGCTGTGATTTGCATGCTTCGCGTTTCACTTTGGCAGTGGCGATTAGGTTGGCCCACTAGATCGCAGCGCCTGTCTTCGCTTTCCTCCTCCAAGTCCATCGGTCGAGGGCGAGCTCTTCCCAGTTGATTGGGTTAATTAACTCTTCACTTGTAAAAAGCAAAGTAAGTTACTTCCGCGAACAAAAATGTGTTTGTTGAAAACGCTGCCTGTTTCTGAATCAAGATTGTTTTACGTTTGGAAATTATTCTAAGCTTCCACGATACCCTATTCGCCTGCTAGGGGAATCAAAACAGGTTTTTCATAGCCGCTTTTATTCCGGTGTTTCCGACCTTAGGAATTTCTTCAATGAGTCTAACAGGCGACCAAAAATTACAGGTTGAAAAGGTAATACGCCTAATTTGCTAATGCAAACCAATTATTTGCTAGATACACCTTCTTTCATTTCTAGAAAGTGCTAGGCTATTAGAGGACAAATAGAAATGGGCGTTTTTACAACCTAAGTACTATCCTACAACTCGACTGCAATATCGGTGTTGACCTGCGACATATTGATCGAAAACAGTAACTGCGGAATTTCGCTTCCACGTCTATCTGAGGTAAATGTTGAACCTGTGTGAAACGATTGTTCATTCTTCATCGGTATTTCAGCGGTACTTACCACAGTGTGACTAGTTCCCTTTAGTTTGGTTGGATGCTATTCCATCCATATGTGTAAGAAGCTTTGAAGGATTTTGTAATCTAAAATGTCAGGCTAATTACGACAGCCGATTTTGTTCCAGTTCGTTAGCATAGCGCTTAGAGAAAATTACTGTGATCCTTTTCAAATAAGCTTATGGAACTGGAAAAGTTTAACTATTGCTACTCTTTAATGCACATGACTTTCAATACGTAAAACACTAGTATTGAGCACTAAGTTGGCTTCTAGAACTTTATTTTTGATGTCAATGACACAGTTGTTTGTCTGTGAAAACTGCAAGAATGAAAATGGGCAACGAAGATAAAAGGAGCTATTGAATACTAGTTGACACGTGTACGTGCATCAGGCTTCTACAATTATACAACTGGCCCCGATGCAGTGACATGTGCTAGCTCGCTGGCATTTGATCGGCTGGCATAATGGCCTTTTTAAGGACCATTTGCTGGTCACAAGCGATCAATTGCGCGACGATGGGTTAATTACAGTTCCCCCTGTGTTTGATCAATTATTTTTCTTTCCTAAAAGGCCTAGTCATATTAAGAGCGGAAAGTGCTTGTTATTTGAGGGCTGGAAGTGTTCGCAAAACGACCTAACTCAGTCATCGATGTATTGCTTCGCTCAGTTCGTTGCCAAGCGACGGAAATCTCATAAAGAATAACTCATTATTTTGTAACTCTTGCAGCAGCAGCAGCAGCATGGCGCGTTTTCTGGCTGCATGAGTTTTATAGGCCCTTAGTGGTAATAAAATGTGGTTTTTGTCCTTTGCGCATATATCCTTGGTCGTTCGGCCAGGTTCTTTGGGATGAATCGGCCTGGGCACTCACATTTCGAAGGTGGCCTTGAGTATTCCCCTAGGCATTCACAGGTTGGACAAAAAAGTGAACAGTCCCGTTGGCCAACGGGCGTCTGAAATTGCTTCCGTGCAATGGGTAAAAGATGTTAAATTTCATGCATTTTCATGATTCTTAGACGCCTTTTCGACTGCACCGTCGAGGGATTGCGCTTATCAACGCGTACTTAACTTGTTGTTATCAATTTCCACTTCACCTAGCAAGTTTGTATTCAATCCCATAAATACAATGTTTTTGTCATTTTAGGTGATATGCTAACAGTTATAGTTAGAAATTTCTTTGTTGGCCAAAAGTGGCAAGACATCAAACAGGGACATAATCATTCCGTCGAGGGTGCTCTGGTCAGATCGGCTTTTACCAATTGTCATTTGGGACAGTTCCGCTTACACGAAACTAACAACAACAGAAAACCTCCCTTGGGACATTCTGAAACGCTCAGGGAACTAATTTTCCTCCAGTTCGATAGTTTTGGATATGCTCTGGAGAATAAGTAACATTGCACGCAAGACAAACTCATTATTTACTATTCGTCATTGAAAGGAAACGTAGCTCATGCTTCAGATAATGAGAATTCTCGACGGATATCGAACACCTTCTGGGAGATTCAGATATAAATTCTACGTAAGATCAACCTCTTTGCAGAGATCATCTCAAACTTCGGATGTTTGCCGGATCAAATAGGAAAAATCATCATTTTACATCGTAAACTTTTTTCTCAGATCATTCACATACGAAGCGAATGGACTCCGTATCCAAAAATGCAAGAAAGCTCGGCAAATAGAATGTGTACGCGCATGTTTTTATACAATGATACGACACACTTGACCATAGAAGGTGCGTTACGGCCTACAAAATCACTTTCATGAGTACTTATTTAACCCCCTCTGTTCAACCATTTGCCAGTATAACTTTAAAATGTAAACCCGTATAGGCTCAGCGACTATTGCATGCTATCGCGCATATCACTTCATTCGTAACATACAGCTTGTATAATGTTTGGCCAATTTTTGTTTGCCAACACGTAAGATAACATTTTTCGATAAAGTCTACCGAATACATCACAAATAAAATGAGGTAATATATTACTTTGAAGCGGTAAACTGACAAGGACCTAAATGTAAGTATGCTCAAAATACAGTACCATCGTGTATATTGCATTTTATATATTCGACGTCCAAGGTTGTCTGGGCTAATAACAACTGGAAGAGGAATATTTGACATTAAGGTGTCTGACAGGGATAGTCGGTACAAGTTCATGCAATGACTAACTTGGAAAGAATGTAATGAAGCCAAGTCCCAGTTACTGTGCGGAGAAATGAGGTAATTACGGAGGAGACAATTGCATATGTCAAACGATTTTATTGCCAATTTTCGTCAATCGCTGTCGTTCACGTTATCAACCGTTGAATTTTTATTGACTAATTAATAATTAGATAGTTAGCCCTGTTCGTCGGCAGAGTATACAGTGAGTGACCGATCTCATGAAATGTTGGTTGAAATTCTGAAATGCGTTCTCGATTAGGAAGGATTACTTGGGCGCAGATGTAATATTGGTTATCTTGCAGCACAATCCTATAGTATTTCGGACTCGGCAGGATTTCAGCTTTTGAAACTTCTATAGAGACCGCATTGGTGAGAAATGACTACTTTGTAGCATTCATTTTTCCCACTGATTCTCGATGGCCTTGCAAATTCAAATATATTTCATAGAAACCCCGAGTAAAAATATGCTTTCTTTCAGTCGTTTGATAAAGAATCACGCCATTTTATATTTCATACTCAAAGAAGGAGTCCAATTAGGTTTTAAGAATGCTTTTAATTATGAGATTTTTGAAGACCGCACAATGTCCATTC